TGTGTAAATGTACCAGGGCTTCTTATCCATTCAGCTACCCTATGTCTTTTGATTGGAGCATTTAATCCATTTCCATTTGAGGTTATTATTGAGAGGTACTTATTTATTGCCATTTTTATCATTTATGCCTACGTTTCTCTCTCTATTTCTTCTCCTTCTTATAACAGTCCCTTTAGCATTTCTTGCAATGCTATTTTGGAGCTAATAAATGCCTTTAGCCTTTTTTTTTTTTTTAAATCTGGGAAGCTCTTTATTTCACCTCCAATTTTTAAAGATAACATTGATGGATAGAGTAGTCTTTGTTTCAGATCCTTGCTTTTCATTACTTTGAATACTGTCCCTTCTGTCCTATAGCTTTTTCTGCTGAGAAATAAGGTGACAGACTTATGGGAGCTCCCTTGTAGGTATCTGACTGTCTTTTTCTTGCTGCCCTTAAGATTCTCTCTTTGTCTTTAATGTTTTCCATGTTAATTATGATGTGTCTGGTGTCAGTCATTTTGTGTTCATCTCAATTGGGGCTCTCTGTGTTTCCTGAACCTGTATGGCTTTTTCCTTCACTACATTAAGGAAGTTTTCTGTCATTGTTTCTTCAAACAGGTTCTTAATCCCTTGCTCACTTTCTTCTCTCTCTAATGCCCCTAGGATGCAGATGTTACTCCATTTCATGTTGACCTAAAGTTCCCTTAAACTCTCCTCATGTGTTTTAAGTTCTTTTTTCTTTTTGCTGCTCTAACTGAATGTTTTCTCCTACCTTGTCTTCCAAATCACTGATTCGAACCTCTGCTTCATCAAGCCTGCTTTTAATTCCTTCCAGTGTATTCTCTATGTCAGATATAGTATTCTTTACTTCTGGCTGGTTCTTGTTCATGGTTTCTATATCCTTTGTCATGTTGATGTAGTTTCCACTAAGCTCCTTGTAGTTCTTACTAAATTCCTAAATTCCTTACTAAATTCCTTAATCTTTATAATCATTACTCTCATCTCTATGTCTGATAAGTTACTTACCTCATTTAGGTCTTTTTCTGGCAATTCCTCATTTTATTCCATTTGGAGGTAGTTTCTTTGTCTCCCCATTTTAGTTGTCTCTTTGTGTTTGTTTCTATGTATTAGCTATACTTGCTATGACTCCCAGTCTTTGTGGTATAGCCTTTTGTAGTAAATATCCCATGGGACGGACTTGGTGCTGTCTCTTTGAACTCCTGAGCTGGATACTCTATGAGTGACCCTTTTGTGTGTTATTTGGGCCCTCCTTTTATCATTGGATCTTGATTATTGTTGTCCCATTCATGGTTGGGATCTCCTCTCAGGCTGGCTAACTGTGAGGCTCAACCCCACCCACATTGTCTGAGCTGCTGTACAGGTGCAGTCTTGAGGTGATTTCTGCCCTTCTTTGTTTAAAGTCTCCTCTCCAGCCAGTCTTCATCTGGTCTTTCAGGGTGAATATTCTCCAATTTAGTTTAAATTCCAGTTAAATTCTGGAAGGTGATGGGAGACAGATCCCCTACTGGACCACCATCTTCCAATGCCCCCTCTGTAGAGAATTTTTATAAGAATTTGTTTGAACCCAAATGACAACAATGCTAGGAATCAAGATCTCAAGTGCTCCCCAGTTTGGGTTTTCTAACCCTCACCTCAGACCTTCCAGGCCTCCACTCACCACCCAGTTCTAAAGCCACAACCACACTCCTAGGTGTTGGTGACATCACACCCCACTCCTGGTACTAAAGTCCACATTTATTTCCTACGTCAGTTGTACCATAGCCCACAGACCCAGTGGGCTTAAACAACAGAAATTCACTGTTGTAGACCTGGATTCTGGGAGTCGAGGTCAAGGGTCACAGGGCCGGTGACCCCAGTCTATAGGGGGATGGCCAGGCCCTCCCCACTGCTGCTCTGGGAGCTGCTGACATCCTCCGCTTGTAGAGCTCCTCTGTGCATGACCTCTCCCTGTGCGTGTCTCTGTGTCCAAGTCCCCCTCCTGTAAAGACAAAGTCCTATGGGGTTTGGAGCCACCTGACTCCAGCAGGACCTCGGTACCTTATGGGAAAGGGAGATGGCGCTGCTGAGAAAGCACAGGAAAAGATGAGAGCAGGGTCATCAGACACTTGGGAGAGCAGTGCAGTGGGCTCTGCTGCCAGAGGACCTGTAGAGAGCGCATGGTGCCACTGCCCAGCCAGACGGCTTGCATGCCAGCTGAATCTCAGGAACCTGTGGCCCTGTCCCAGCACTGCCAGGCAGTATGGGGACAGGGACATGGGAAGAGGTAGGGGCTTGGAGCAGAGGTGCCATGAGACTAAGATAGAGCAGTGCTCTTAGGGACCCCATGTGGGCTCATCCACCTTGATCATCCAGGTCCCCACAGAAAGGATGAGGAATCTGTGAGCCAACCCACCAGGGAGTTGCCAGTCCCAGAGCCCATCCATGCCTGAAGTACTTGCAGGGTGTCACCTGTCTGGACATTGGCTGATGGAGCTGTGTGCCCCCAGATTCCCCCAGGACAGGGCTGAACAACCCCTCTGAGACCAAAGTCACTAACAGGCTGGTCCCAAGCACAGAGCCCTTGGGAGCAGGAGTTGGGGATAGGAAGGGCTGACCTCACTGCTGCTCAGGTGACAACACACAAGTCCAGCCATGCTCTGCCTCACCTGCCAGGCAACTGAGGCCCCCAGACCCATCACCCAGGGCACACCTTGAAATGGGGTATCCTTCCACCCCTCACAGCTCCATGGGAGGGGTTAGAACAGGAGACGCATAGAGCAAGGAGACTGGGCCTCCCCTCCAGGGCACTGCCAGGCCCCCCAGGACCGGGGCCTCTCCTCCCACACTGCCCTGTGCCCTGGGGAGTGCCCGGCCTCAGAAGAACCACCTGTCTGTCTTCCAGGTGTGGCTGTGCTCCCCATGGTCCCGGAGTGCAAGGCCCCCAAAGAAGGCGTCTCCGTGACCCTGGCCTGCTTGGTGACGGGGTCTGACTCAGCCACCTGGCACATAGGAGCAGAGAAGCTGCCCGCAAATGACGTTGTGATTGGGCACTTGAAGCAGAGGGTCACCTACCTCTTCTACCAAACCATCGTCTGGAAGCCTGGCTCACACAGCTGCAGCGCCGATCACACGTCCAAGACCTTCCAGTGGCCAGGTGGGTGGCCTCCAGCATGTCCCAGCATCTTCCAGGGCCTGACCTCAAGGACCAAAGCAGGGACTGGGCCCCGATGGGCACCCAGCCACCCCTCAGAGGAGCTCCCTCCCTACCCCCCACTCTGCCCTCAGCCGCTCCAGCTCCAGCATTCGAACCCAGTCCCTTCCACCCCTGTCCCCAGAGTGCTGGAGGCAGCAGCCCAAACCTGGCCCCTCCCCTGCCCTACTCATGTCTTTCTATCCACCCGGAAGCCTGTCCCCCGCTTCGTCCACGATGCCCTCTGACCTCGGCTGCCCACTGCCCTTCTGGTTTCAGCATCTTGGAAAACCCAGGCCATCTCAGTGACCCACATGACACCTCTCTCAGAGAAACTCACCCCAGCCCCCACCCCAACCAGACACCCAGGTGAGGAACCCCTCTGCCAGCATACCCCTACCCACCTGTCCATGCCTTAGGCTGCCTCCTTCAGGCAGCCCTCCATGACTTCTGGGCATCTTCCGTCACATTCTGGCCAGGAAGGACAGGCCCTGAACTTATGGCTACTGAGCACCTACCCTATGCCGGGCCCTGTGTTGAGTGCCACTGAGGCCTTCAGGTGCCAGGGATCAGCCTAGGTCACTCTGCAGGGGGCACAGTGGATGAGGAGGGCCTTGGGCCAGCACTGGGATGCACCTGCCCTGTGGGCCTGGCTGATACATGAGCTTCTTCTGGAGGCTTTTGTAGGGACTCCAGTGCAGCCAGGAGTGCGGAACCGGACCCCTGACCCTCACAGAAACACAGGCGCCCCCTGAAGGCTGGGGTTGTGGTGGTGCACCCACGGTCTGCCAGCCAGAAGACGGTGCTCATGCTCTGAGCGGGCTGCCAGTGCCGGCAGGGGTGTGCTGGGCAGACACAGGGAGACCCGACCCACGGTGGCCCCACAGGTTGCTGGTCCAGACACTCACACCCCCAGCTGCAGCTGGTGCCTGCCGTCGTGTCCAGAGCGCCCTGGGGATGGGCCCTCCAGTGTCAGATGGACAGACACACATTTCCTATGTGTCCTTTCATTTTATGAGTTTTATGTTTTGTTAATCCTCACCTGAGGATTGTTTCCATTGATTTTTAGAGAAAGTGAAAGGGAGAGGGAGAGGGAGAGGGAGAGGGAGAGAGAAACATAGATGTGACAGAGACACTTTGGTTGGTTCCTCCCCCACACTCCCAAACCAGTGCCGAGGATGGAGCCTGCAACCGAGGTACATGCCCTTTACTGGAATCGAACCCGGGACCCTTCAGTCTGTGGGCCGATGCTCTATCCACTGAGACACACCGGCCAGGGCGTGTCCCTTTACAAGCACACTGCTCCTGGCCTGCTGTCAGTCTGTGGCCCATTCACCTGCTGGCTGTCCATGCCCTAAACCAGTGATGGCGAACCTATGACACGCGTGTCAGAGGTGACAAGCAAACTCATTTTTTTGGTCCATTTTTCTTTGTTAAATGGCCTTTAAATATATAAAATAAATATCAAAAATATAAATCTTTGTTTTACTATGGTTGCAAATATCAACAAATTACTCTGTGTGACACGGCACCAGAGTTAAGTTAGGGTTTTTCAAAATGCTGACACGCCGAGCTCAAAAGGTTCGCATCACTGCCCTAAACCATAGGAGGAGTTGTCGTACGGATGATCTTTGAGTACCTGGCAGTCGGTCACAGCCACCAGGCCAGCAGGGTCCCGCCAGAACCGGAGGCACACTCTGGGGCACCGACGCAGGGATGATGTGGCTGGGGTGGGGCTCAGACATGCACCTCACAGCTGGGGGCATGGAGAGGCCACAGCCCCGACCACGGGCAGAGCAGGAGGCGACCCTCCCCACCCATCCACTTCCCTCTCAGGGCCCCAAGGTCCCCTGAACTCAGGGGTCATGAGGGATCCAGCCACCATGCCCCAGACCCGGCCCGGGTCCTAGCCAGAAGCTGGGATGCTGGACTCTTTCTCCGAGGCCAGTCCCTGGGGGCACGGAGCAGGGGGAGCAGGGAAGGAACGGGCCAGGGGCCTCACATGTCCTCTCTCCACAGCCCTCCTAGCCACCTCCGCCCACAAGGACTCGCATTCTCCAGAGTCTTCCCGTGGCCTGGGCACAACCGGGCTTCTCCCCTCAGCTGCCACGATGCCCAGCAGCCTCACTGTCCAGGTCCTGGACACACCGGGTGCTCACGCCTCTGCCGGGGCGGCCTCCTGGCTCCTGTGCGAGGTGTCGGGCTTCTTGCCCCCAGAGCTGCTCTTCACCTGGCAGGAGGGCTGGCCCCAGGTGGACTCTTCTTGGTTTGCCACCACGGTGCCCACAGCCGAGCCTGGCAACAGCAGGTTGCGCACCTGGGGTGTCCTGTGGGTCCCGGCCGCCCCCGGCCCCCGCCAGCCACCAACACGTGCGAGGTCAGGCCCCGGCCTTGGGGAGGCTGCTCGATGCCAGCTGGAGCCTGGACACTATAGGTGAGGCACCCCCGGGCACAGGGCTGGGGGTGGGCAGTGGCACAGAGGCCAGCAGTCTGTGCCGCCTCCCGGGACAGCCCCATCTGGCTGACTTGGTGTCTGGAGTTTGCACTCGCTGTCCCCACACTTGGGGATTTGGGTGACCTGACACCTCTTCATCCCACTCATTCCTGGTGTCCCCACACTGAGCGCTGACCCAGGAGGGCAGGAGGCTGGGGCCCCCCGCCAGGTCCCAAGGAGCAGCCATTTCCTGTGAAGACACACCCGTCACTGGGCACGGAGCAGGGCCTCCTCCAGGGTGGACATCGGGTGGTCACCACGGACGTCTCCCACACACCCCCATCATGTCCGAGCCTCTCCAGGTCCGAAGGGCCCCAAGACCTGACACACCACCATGGGAACCAGGTGCACCCAGAAGGGAGGGCTGGACCGCACACTGACTGTGGAGGGAACAGGGACCCACAGGGTGGGGCTCACCCTCCCCTCTGAGGCTCCCTGCCAGGCCGCCTGTTGTGCACAGCACCCAGACCCTGCCCTGTCTTCGCCCTCCAGGCCCCCAGGGAAGGGATGGGCACGATGGGCCAGGCCGAGAGCAGGACACCATCCAGGCCGCCCAGCGCTCACCTGCCAACCTGTGCTCAGTGTCCACAGCACCACAGGCTGCGTGGGTTGTGGAGATGGCCTTGCCCCCTGGGCTGGTCACGAGGGATCCGGTCAGCAGGCCCCAGGCCCCAGCCCGGCTCTCAGTCTCTGTGGTGATAGACAGCTGCCCTTTAAATCTCCATTTTGCCGAGGACCCCTGAGTTCAGAGCATGTGATTAGGAATAAATCATTAATTACTTGAAGAATAAAATGACGAGAAAAGCAAAGTTGTACCCACTTTTCATTGTTAGAGCCAACAGACTGCAAAGCCTTGGCACTCACTCATGCCCGGCCCACCTCCCATGCCCCACGCCACAGACAAGGGGCCCGGGGGCCTGTGCTGCATGTTGGTTCCCAGGCCCACTTCCTGCTTGGTCCCGGGCACGCAGCCCAGGGTTGGGCAAGTTCCCCTCCCAATCCAGCAGGATGATGATGCCATACTCCAACCTGGCGTGTGCCCTGGCTCACAGCCATGCCACTCCTCCTGCCGCCATCTGGGCCTGCACCCCTCCTGGGCCTGGCCTCCTGCCTCCTCCGTCCTTCTGGGCCAGGCTCTCTCCCAACTCAGGGCATCCATGCATGCTGTTCCTTCTGCTTAGGATGCTGTTCCCTCCTCTCTTTGCCTGGTTGGCAATAGCTCATCTTCCACAGCTCATCACGGCTGCCACTGCCAAGCACTGTATATAATTTTAAATAGGGTTATTGATTTCAGAGAGGAAGGGAGAAGGAGAGAGAGACAGAAACATCAATGATGCCAAAACCGGTTTGGCTCAGTGGATAGAGCGTCGGCCTGCGGACTGAAAGGTCCCAGGTTCGATTCCGGTCAAGGGCATGCACCTGGGTTGCAGGCACATCCAGTGGGAGATGTGCAGGAGGCAGCTGATCGATGTTTCTCGCTCATCGATGTTTCTAACTCTCTATGTCTCTCCCTTCCTTTCTGTAAAAAATGAATAAAAAATATATTTTTTAAAAAAAGAAAAGAAAAGAAACGTCAATGATGAGAGACTGGGGGGTTGAACCTGCAACCCAGGCATGTGCCTTGACCGGGAATCGAACCGTGACTTCCTGGTTCATAGGTTGATGCTCAGCCACTGAGCCACATGGCCGGGCCCAGCTGCCACTTCTGAGGGAGGCTCTTTGGCCAGGTTCCCGGGGCCAGGCCCTGTGTGTCTGCATCTTCTTACTGCCGGCGCCTCCCTGGATTTCTGGTCACACATGTGCGGACTTATGTGCCATGTTTCGTTCTGGTTCACCTGCCCCAATTGGTGCTGTGACCTATCTGGTTCTGCTGTGCCGGGTACGGGCCTGGCCATGAGAAGGCGGGTTGCAGGTGCCTGTCGGGTGGGTGACAGGGTGGGCACTGGACGGTGTGAGCTGTCACCTGGCATGTAGCTGCTGCTGTGTGCTGTGAGGCCACAGGACTGACCTCACTGGCACCGCTTCCTCACCAGGCCTGGCCCCGTCCCTCTGGGGCCCCCTGAGCATGCAGGAGGACTGTGATGGCTACGCCAACCTGGATGATGCCAGCCGCCTGTGACCCACCTTCGTGGCCCTCTTCCTCCTCACCCTGCTCTACAGCGGCTTCATCACCTTCGTCAACGTGAAGGGCAGGGACATCCTGGGGGTTCACTGGAGCCGGCCAGGGACTGTGCGGAGCCGGGAAACCCGGGCAGGAGGGCAGTGGGCCGTGGGCACTGTCCTGGCCTGAGGGAGCCGCCCGGGGCCCTCACAGGAACACTGCATGCCTGGCTGAAGAGCCTGCCCTGACCCAGGAACCTCCTCCCGTC